GTTAAATGATTGGTTCAGAGTCACCCAACTAGTAAGTGTAAAATCAGGATGATGATGGCAGCTACCTCACAGGATGGCCATGAGATAATGAGATAGCATGTATAGAACATGCTTTGTAAACCTTAAAATGCCATAGCTGGCTGTTATTATGGAGAGACCTTAGTCCAATCCACTCATTGTATAGAAGAACTGAGGTGAAATGATTTTCTTAAGGTTACTCTGATCACAAGCCTGTCAGCTAGATTCTGTAGGTGTCCCTGCTTTACTGATGAAGAGACAGAGACTCAGAGACATTAGCACTGCCTAACACCTAATTTGATTTGCCCAACCTGGTGATTCTGGCAAATGAAAGCCATTATGAGTTTGATGCTCTTTCCACTATGTCTTGATTGCCATGAGGATTCTCTGCTCAGAAGTCTTCTTTGGTTCCCAATCCTCTTTGTCATTAGGTCCCAATTCCTTGCTATGAATTTTAGCATACTTTGACATGCCTCCCCATTCAACAGCCCTCCCCCCACCTTCCAGCATTCCCCTAAGCTGACTGCTGAACTTTCCACCATTAAATCTAAAAGGCAGATCAGCACCACCTGAGCTTGGGTGAGGATTTGGCCCAGATCTCTTTGGACCCAGAGCATCCTTGGCCTGACTTGGCACATAGCTTCAAATTCCATTTTTGCCTGGGAGAAAAGGCAGCTTAGGGAGTCTCCACCTTACCACTCTCCTTCATTTCTCCTTCTCTGTGCAAATGGACTTGAACTTGTTTCATTTGGACCTGCCAACAAGTCTGGGTAACCCACCTTTCATCTTGCTGAACAGAGATGCAGGCTGAAAGCAAGGTGGGAATTGCTTTATAGAGAAAGACAGGAGGAGGGGGAAGAGGGGAGGAAAGGGTTGGAGGAGGAAGTCTGAAGATGTAGGCTGCTGTCCACAAAACAGTAATGCCTCAGGGGCTTGTGCAGTTCACACTGTCCTAGGAGTATAGGTAGAGAACTAGTAGAGACCTCAGAAGCCATCTAATCCAGCCCCCTGGTTTTACAGAGAAGGAAACTGAGGTCCAGGGAGGTTAAGTAACTTAAATCATAGATTCAGACTGAAAGGAACCTTAGAGGTCATGGAATAATAGAATCATAAATCTATGGAAGGAAGGAAGGAGGATGGAGGGAGGAAGGAAAGAAGGAAGGAAGGAAGACAGGAAGGAAGGAAGGACACAAAGGAAGGATAGAAAGACAGATGGAAGGGAGAAAAGATGGGAGGGAGAGAAAAAGGAAGGATGAAAGGGAAGAAAGAAGGAAGGGAGATAGGAAGGAAGTATGTAAGGGAGAAAAGATGGAAGGAAGGGAGAAAGAAAGGAAGGAAGGATGAAAGGGAGAAAAGAAGAAAGGGAGAGAGGAAGTAAGGAAGGAAGGGAGAGGGAAGGAGGGAGGAAGAATACATTTAAGTGCTTATTATATTATATATATTTTATTACATTATATATTACTATTATATACTATATTACCAGATGCCTTCTAAATACTGGGGATACAAATACAAGCAAAAATAAAGACAACCCTCAAGGAGGTTGGGGGAAAAACAACACACAAAAGAAAGCCAAAAAGCAGGGCAGGGGAGAGGCAGAGCAGTGAGGCAGGAAGCCCACCAGGGGCATGGTTTTGAGGTCAAGAGCAGATACAGGGGTGGAAGGAATGAAGGTCTGGGCTCCTCCACAAAATGGAGGTCCTGGTAGGAACTCACCAGTGGGAGAAAGGGTCAGGGTCTGGCTGGGGGATCCTCTAGGGTGAGACAGCCATGTGGGTAGTTGAATATTCTAGGGAGAAGAGGTCCCAGGTGCTAAGAGAAGTTCCAGGATGAGACTAGCTATGAAACCAAGGGCTATTTTGTGCCTCAGTTTCCTCATCCATAAAAGGTGAGTAAAAATTCAAACAGGATCATAGATTTAGATCTGGAAGGGACAAGATTTAGGGCTAGTCCACATAAGCTATGGAATTTGTGCCTAATATTCTCTTACCTCATGAGGCTGTTGTGAAGATTTAATGAAAGCATGTAGGTAAACTGTTAGCAAATCATCAAGCCCTAGATAAATATTGTTATTATTACTGAAGGAGTGACTCTAACATTAGCACTGAGAGAAGCCTGGAGAGGCAACATGGTACAGCAGAAAGAGTCTGAGATTTGGAGTCAGAGGACCTGAGTTCAAATCCAGCTCTGCTACTTACTGTCTGTGTGACTTTGAGCAAATCCCTTAACCTCTCTGGTCCTCAATTTCCTCATCTGTGAAATGGGGAGGTTGGCCTAGATGACCTCTAAGGTGCCCTCCAGCTCTAAACCCATGATTTAGAGTATACATACACGTATTCATATGTACTCTATGTGTGTACATACTCTATATGTATACATACATGTATTCATATGTAAAACTCTTCGTTTTATGGGGGAAGAAACTGAGGGCCAAAGAGAAATAACCTGCCTATGATCATGGGGCAAGTTAGTGGCAGAGGAGGGACTAAATTCAATACCCTTTTTACCTGTTCAGTCACCTCAGTTGTTTCTGACTCTCTGTGACCCCATTTGGGGTTTTCTTGGCAAAGACACTAGAGTGGTTTACCATTTCCTTCTCCAGCTCATTTTACAGATGAGGAAACTGAGGTCAACGGGGTGAAGTGACTTGCCCAGGGTCACACAGCTAGTCAATGTCAGAGTCTGGATTTGAACTCAGGTCTTCCTGACTCCAGACCCAGAACTCTATCCACTAAGCCATGTAGTTGCCCCGCTCTTTCCCCTACCCATTTTAAAAGGATTTCCTCCTCTTAGGAGTCTTTTAAATTGCCAACTTCCCTTCCACTTAGGCGAGAATTTGGATTTGATTTATGGACAGTAGCTTCAGAGCACATTCTTTGAGTGGCCATCAATTAGGGAATGGCTTGAACAAGCTGTCACATACGAATTGTAATGGAGTATTATTGTGCTATAAGGAATGACAATTATAAGGAATTCAGATATACATAGGAAGATTTATGGGAACCAAGTCAGAACAAAGTAAGTAGAACTAAAAGTATAATATAATTACTTTCTTTTTTTTTGTCTTGACGTGTCGTTTCATTGGGATAGGGAATTTCTGCAGGGGAAACTCCCTCTACCGATACAAGTTATTATCTGCTCTGTAGTTTATAGTCTTTAAAAAAATCTTCAATAAAAAAGTATTTGTTTTCTCTCCCTCCCATTTCTCTTCCTCCCTACCCCAACAATGGAAAATAAAGAAAAACAAAATCCTTGTAACAAACATGCAGTTGAAACAAATCCAATTCCCTCACTGATCATGTCCAAAACTATAGGCTCCATTGTGTATCTTGAGTCCATCGTCTCTGTCAGGAGGTGGATGGTATGCTTCATCAGCACTCTTCTGAAAAACTGCTCAGGAATTGCATCAATCACAATTCTCGAGTCTTCCAAAGTATAGTCTCAGTTGTGTGAAGCACTGGTCGGAGAAATGCCTTATTTAGGGTCACACAGCCAAGATTCTCAGAAGTAGGACTTGAACCCTAGTCTGCCTGACTCGAGGCTGGCTCTCTGTCTGCTAGATCATACTGCCTCTTGATAAGTACAGTGATGTGAATGGGGGGGAAATTCCTAAAAGAAAACCACGCTCTGAGAAATTAAAAAGCCAATAATGGCCCTAGAGAGCAAACAATGAGCTATGTCTCCCTCCCTCTTCTCTTCAGAGAGACAGGAGAATTACTAGGACAGACTTGCCCATATTCTGTACTTTGTCAGAGATAATCAGATAAGGATCTTTTGCTTTATTATTTTTCTTTGTTTAAACAAAGAGTTCAACTTGAAAGGGAAGGGGGCCAGGAATTTTCAGTATAATTCCATTGGGTGTTTCAGCAGAGTATAGATTTTTCCAGTCAGTAATCTATCCTTTCTCCTCCCTCCTCCTTGTCAGATAGGAATAGAGCTGAATCCTTCCCAAGTTTTCTGCTCCTGGTACTGATTTAGTATCATGTCTTATTCAGCAATTGCCCTCTCTTTTCTAACCTACTTATCTCAGGAGATTTAATCAGCCTCAACTTGTTTCAACAATTAGCTCACTTTATAACCTAGGGAAAATATTATGGTCCTTGGGTCCATGTGTTCCACTTCTCTGGTATTTTATAGAGCTTTTATCAGATGAAATGTTAATAATACAATCACAATAACTCAGAGCCCCCAGTTAAAAAAAATTGACACATAGGTTTGGTTCTCTGTACTAATATAAATTTTTGTGTATCTCCAGCTAATCCATGGCCTCTCTATATTAGAAGCAGGATCAGGATACAGAAAATGTTTACATAAAAGAAGCAAAGATATAGATAGATAGATAGATAGATAGATAGATAGATAGATAGATAGATAGATAGATATAGATATAGATATAGATAGATAGATATAGATACATAGATATATAGATATATGTATGTATGTATGTATGTATACACACACACACACATATTACCTATACGAAATTGCTTTCCATCTTAGGGAGGATAGAGGGAAGGGAGGAAGGGAGAAAATTTGGAACTAAAAATTTTATTTAAAAAAGTGAATGTTAAAAATTATCTTTACATGTAATAAAATACTATTTAAAAGGAAAAATAAGCTAGCAGACTATATTTTATGATTATTGGATAGTATATCTGATACTTCTCTGTAACCTTGGAAAAAAATCACTTAATTTCTCTTAACTTCAGTTTCTATCTGTAAAATATGAGAGTTTGGACTAGACTGGATGGCTTTCAAGGTCCTCCCAAGCTCTAAATTTCTGATTCTAAGTATGAGATTCCAGGCTCAATCGAATCAGTATTTATTAAGTGCCTAGTACATGCCAGCCACTGTATTAAATGCTGGACTCAGAGCAGGGATGCCTAACTTCATTGTACCTCGGCTGCCTCAAAGGGACAAGATGTACCTGTGTACGCACTGGTCATGCTCAAGGCCACCTCACCCTCTCTCTGTTTCCGCAGTTTGACATGCAAAGGATAACTCTGGAAGAGCTAAAGCATATCCTGTACCATGCATTCCGGGATCATCTCACGATGAAAGACATTGAAAACATTATTATCAACGAAGAAGAGAGCCTGAATGAGAACTCAGGAAACTGCCAGACAGAGTTTGAAGGAGGTAGGTCCCCTTGGCCGGTCCACTGCAAACCCACCTCCACCCAATCTAGAATTTAGGTGGGCAGATACTTGCTGCCCTGACTTTGGTATATGAAGAATGTCTGTAGTCTCCCCCTACCCCAGGAAATTTTTTTTTTACTGTAGCCACAAGGCAGGAAACTGAAATTACTTAAGACATCTGCTTTTCAGAGGTATGGAGCCCATTCCAGTTCCTGCCTTTTCAATTCCCCATTTATCAAGCATAGCTTGTGTGCAAGGAGCCACCAGGGTTACAAAGATACAAACCAAACAGTTCCTGCCCTTATGCAGTTTATATTTTCCTGGCAGGATACAGCATGTACACAGATAAGAAGGGAGGGGAAAAAAACAAAGGAGAGATCCAGGCAAAGTGCTCCAGGAACGATCAGTCAGTCAATCAACTAGGATTTCTTAAATTCCTACTATGTGTCAGGCATCATTCTGGGTGAAGGCAATAGCGATTCAAAGACAGAAACAATGGCAGGGACAAGAAGGAACTTCCTACAGCTGGTGCCCGAGAGGATCATTGAAGAAAGTTAAGGATTGGGAGAGGAGGAAAGGAGGGGGGAGATAGAAAGACCTTTGGGAACGCATAAAAGCAGGCAGGCATTTAGTAACTGACTTCCTGTCTGTCTCCTTCAATGCTGAACTCATGGAATGATTAGGAGTCCAGTTTAGCTGAAAGGATTCAATTCAGTTCAATTCAATATACATTTACTAAGTGCCTACTATGTAGCAGGCACTGTGCCAAGCACTGAAGATACAGAAAAAGGCAAAAGACAGTTCCTGCCTTCAAGGAGCTTACAAAATTATCAATCAAACAAACAACCAGGCAATGAAAAAAGCATTTATCGAGCGCCTGCAGTGGGCCAAGTGATACGTTAGAAGCTAGGCCACACGGGGACAGCAAGGTGGCGCAGTGGATAGAGCACCGGCCCTGGATTCAGGAGGACCTGAGTTCAAATCTGGCCTCCGACACATAATACTTACTAGCTGTGTGACCCTGGGCAAGTCCCTTAACCCCATTGCCTAGCCAAAAAAAAAAAAAAAGAAAGAAGCTGGGCTACAAATACAAAAGTGACGAAGTTCCTGCATTCAGAGAACTTACATTTTATCATCCTTTTTATCCCCTTGACTCACCATGGTGCCCTGCAGCAAAATAACCAATCAATAAGCATTCATTGATTGCATACTGTGTGCTAGGCACCACGCTTGGTCTTGAGGAAGAGGAAGAGAAACATGGGTAGAGGCCATTCCTTAAATGTCAGGCTGAGAAACATTCATTTTGTCCTGGAAGCAATGGGAAACCACTGACGTTTTCTGAGCAGGGGTGTGACGTGGAGGAGCCTGTACTTTCAGAAGATTGTTTTGGTGGCTATGTGGAGGATGAGATTGGAGGGGAGAGAGGTCGGATGTAGGGAGACCAATTAGGAGATTGTTAGGAAGAGGTGAGAGGTGATGAGGACCAGAGCTGGGGAGTGGGGGGCTGTGAGAGGTGAGGGGACAGAGGCAAGAGCTGATAGAGTCAACCAAGCCTGACTACTGATTTGGGGGCAGGGTGGGGAAAGGAGAAAAGACAGGGATCGCTTAGGTGGTGAACTTGGGCAAAGTGCCACCCTTGCAAAAACTGGGAACTTTGGAGGTGGTTTGGAAAAAAAAATGAAGCATATTCTTTTGGACATGCTATTTGAGATGCTAGTGAAAATCAAGGGGACGATGCTCCCAAAACCTCTGCTGATCCCCTCCTGTAGGAAATGCCCTCTTCATGCAACCCGCCTAGTCTGTGCTGTCACATATTCAGCAGCAGGATTTCACGAGCTCTAGAAACGCAAGAGCCTGTTTTCTCTTAAGCATTACGTCTGTGATTCCGATAGTAACCATTAGGTGAAAGATGGGGGCCAGTGGTATCCAGCCAATGGCTAAGATTTTCTCCAGGCACCCCCAAGTCTCTTTTTCATCTGGATAAAAGTATCTTTCTCTTCTGAGCACCTGCATATGCTTTCTTAGGGCTCATTCAAAAGATCCCAGAATCACACATGGACTCAACTGTGACTTAGGGCAGGTCCCTTCAGATCTCTGGGCCTCAATTTCCTTATCTGTAAGAATGAAGAATTGGACTATGATCTTTCCCTCCCTAAAGCTATAATTTAACAGTATCCTCAAAATTTCCTAGGGGAGTAAATAAAATCATTGTGTAAAGTGCTTTGTAAATCTGTAAATGCTATATAAATTTGAGATTTTATTTAGGATACTACATATTTCCACATGCCATTTTTTCCCACCTGCATTAGTTTGTTTGTTTATTTTCAATCAAGAGGGTTTACTTGACAACCAAGTCATTAACTTCTTCATCCTTTGAACCTCAGGGCTCCTATAAAAGTCCTTGTCACCAAGGTCATCCTGCCCATCACCAACATGGCAAAATACTCAGAGTTCTTTTTCTTTTTCTTTCTTTCTTTTTTTTAATTTTAATTTTAATTTTAATTTTAAATTTATTTTTTCCTTATGCTTTTAAGTTGAAAAATTTTTCTCCCTTTTTCTCCTCCCCACCCTCCCCAAGACGGCGCACAATCTGACATAGGCTTTACATTTACATACCCATTAAACATATTTTCCCATTAGTGAAGTTGTAAGTAAAAATTAAAACCAATAGGAGGAACCATCAGAAAGATGAAACAAAACTCAACTGAAGATAAAAATAAGTGAGAGCGATTTGACTTCCATAGTTCTTTCTTTTCAGAGTTCTTTTTCAACCTGATTAAAGTTTGCTTCTTAAATGAATTCAATGCTCTCTTTCTCTAGCAATTTGGAAACATTTTTGAATGAAGCCAAATATTAAATTTTTAAATGGAATTCTCCAATGATTTCTTAATTGTTATAATTGATGCCAAAGTTACTCTTGGTGGCCACTTCACAGGGGCGGCATCCAGAGTGTACCAAAGCCCAAAAGAGGAGCAACTTTATAGGCAGCTAAGTATGAGGAAGTAGAGACTGCTCATGTTGGAAGCAGGAGACCAGGGCTGGACATGACCTGGGGCAGATAGCAGCATAATCTCTCTTGGCCTCAGCTTCCTCATCTGTAAAATAAAAGGTTAGACTAGATGGTTTCCGAGGTCCCTTCCAGCTCTAGCTATGATCTCTTTCCCAAAAGCAGAATTCCCAGATAAGAAAAGACCAAGGAGCAGGTAGGTGGTGCAGTGGAGAGAGCACAGGCCTGGAAGTCAGGAGGACCTAAGTTCAAATCCAGCCTCAGGCACATAACACTCACTTGCTGTGTGACCCTGGGCAAATCACTTAACCCCATTGCCTAGCAAAAAAGAAAAGAAAGGAAAGGAAAGGAAAAGAAAGGAAAGGAAAGGAAAGGAAAGAAAAGGAAAGGAAAGGAAAGGAAAGGAAAGGAAAGGAAAGGAAAGGAAAGGAAAGGAAAGGAAAGGAAAGGAAAGGAAAGGAAAGGAAAGGAAAGGAAAGGAAAGGAAAGGAAAGGAAAGGAAAGGAAAGGAAAGGAAAGAGAAAAGAAAAGAATAGAGTAAGCAAACTCTAGGTAGAATTAGCTCCAAATGGAGCTATAGTGTGAGGAAAATTGGACAGAACTATTTGGGGTTCCCAATCCTAGCCCATATTCAGATGCTGAAATAATCAAATAAACAAAAAATGTGGGAATGGTTTGGCATCCAGGCTCAATGAAAGGCCTGCAGAGAAGAGGATAAGTGAAGCTTCTAGAGTAATAAGTTTTCTCCATGGGCAGTTGGTGGTAGGGTAACCTTTCGTCCAGAAAAACTTCACTGATTCTGATTAATTGAAGGAAATGCCAGTCTGGGCTAAAGATAAGTCTGAATTAAAGGCTATTAAAATGTACTTTTATTGTGTGCAAGGTACACATTGTGCCACAAACTGATGGCTAACAAACTGCTTCCAACTTGAGGTCCTGCTGGTCCTGCTGGTCCTGCTTAAATGAATATGCTAAACATTATTTCTTTTGGGGGAAAAATCATATTTGTTAGCAGCAAACAGGGCTGCCAAGCTACTTGGAAACAGTTTGTTCTTCTTAAGTAGATTAAACATGCCCCCTGCCATCTTGTTCACACAATGACTTTGCCTGGCAAATAGAGAGTGACGTAGGGAAGAGAGCCCTGGAGGGTGAGTCAGGAGTATGTAGGGCCCAATTCCAACCCTACTTCTCACTAGCTGCTTGACATTGGGTGTTGTCCCTCCCTCTCTGGACCTGAGTTGCCACTGTTCATTGAAAGGGTTGGGTGCCCAGATGGTTTCCAAGACCCCTTCCTGGTCTAACACAATCATCCTAAATTCTGAATTAATGTAGCTTGAATGAATGAATGATGTCCTATCAATGGGTGGCAACCAGAAGTTGTTGTTCCTTGTACAAATCCCTCTAAATTCCTGGGGATAATACATTTAATGTGATGACTGCGTACTTCAGTCATTTGCAACTCCTTAAAGGTAACCAGTGGACAGCTAGGTGGTGCAGTGGATAGAGTGCCAGGCCTAGAGTCAGGGAGACTCATCTTCTAAGTTCAAATCCAGCCTTAGACATTTATTAGCTGTGTGACCCTGGGCAAGTTACTTAATCCTATTTGCCTCAGTTTCCTCAGCTGTAAAACGAGCTGGAGAAGGAAATGGCAAAGCATTCTGGTATCTTTGTCAAGAAAACCCCAAACTGGGTCACAAAGAGCCTGAAATGACTGAACAAAATGGCCCTCAAAGAGCTTATATTACACTGGAGGGACAGTATGTATATGAATAAATAAATACAAGATATACGCACAATAAACATAAAATTCAGAGGCTGAATGGGGTACTGACTAGACAGAATAATGAGGAATCAGGAAGAATGGATTTTGAAGGATGCCTTTGACACATACTGGCTGCTTTGTGACCTTGAACAAATTGTTTAACTTCTTTGGGCCCCAGGAAACTCTCTAAGAGCATGAGTTACAGAGCAGCTACTGAACAGTACAAGTAAAG